TTCGCTGTACTCGAGCACCTTCAGTCCGCGTTGGAATGAATACTACTGCTACTACTCACGCTGTTGCTGCTACTACTACTGCTGCTACTGCTGCTACTGCTGCTACTGCTGCTACTGCTCCTACTGCTCCTACTACTACTACTACTACTCCTTCTCCTACTCCTACTCCTACTCCTACTCCTACTCCTACTCCTACTCCTACTACTACTACTACCACCACTACGACGACGACGACGACTGCTACTGCTACTGAACTACAGACTACTGCTACTTGCACTAATGCTATTATTTTCATTACTCCTCCTTCTCTTCTTCCGTACTCCGACGCCATCTGTTACCGCTACTGCTACTGCTATAACCGCACCACTGCATCATGTTTATTCGCAGATTGCACGGAAGGCTTTCCAATTGCACCTGCAGCCCACCGTAAACCCGCTAAAGGCCCAACACCCTAAAAAGACCCCAAGCCTCAAGCCTACACCCAACAAGTCTTCAAAGCCTTGGGAGGCACGGCGGCCTTCTGCGAGCGCAGCGGAGTCCACCGGGACCTTTTCTCGGAAAGAAACCATCCATACTTCAAAAGCGGAGTCTAGGAGCATAAGATGTATGTAAGAGGGTAATCAGGCTCAGGGGTTTATCGGTGAATAGTTGTGTGCATTTGATGTAAGAGTGTAGTGTCTGGGTTTAGAGCTTTAGGACTTTGGGGTTACCAAATGGGGCTTCGGTCCCTGAGATCTCTAGAGTTACCCCACAGTGGCCTGCTCTTTAGGTTCAAAGAGTTTAGGGCTTAGGGCTTGCTCGCGCGATGGGTTGTCAACTGGCCGGGATGCCGATGAGTTTGGCGTGTCAGCTGGCCCACAGGTTTGAAGTTGATTCTTTCTTGGCAGGTACGTCTGCCACTTCAGACAGACGGGTTCCGCCGGCCCACACAGTAACTACATCATCATTCCTGTGCTGACCAGTCGTTATCAAAGCCACATAATACGGACGACCGGCGGTTCTCGTCGTTCGATTGCTGCTAAAGGATCTCGTCCAGTGGGTCCGGTGCGGCTTTTCAGCGGAGCTTCTGTAATTTGGGGTTTATGGTGTCAATCAAGGATTGTCGCACTTGTAGCAGTTTGCCGTCGCGGTCGTCCTAGTCATAGTGGTAGCCGTTTCCTCTTGTTGTGAAGCTTTGAAGGTTCTTGTCGTATGTCAGCCGAATCGTGAACTCTTGAACGTGAACGGCGCGCCTTGGAGAAGCAACCGCAGCAAGGCAAGCAGACGGAGCCAAGGGTGCCCCCGTCTCATTCGAGGACTTTGCGTGAGCCCGAGGGTGGGGGGAGGGAGGGCGTTTTTTTCGAGCTTGGAACCTGGCTTAAGGGCTTTGCCCTGAGAGTTAACTTGACTCTGCGAGTTCTGGATGTCTGCCCATGTTGACCCGGCCGTCCGCCAGGAACGTTTGGTATGCGGAGATTTTGTTCAACTTTTGTTCAACTTACGGCTTGACGATGGTTGGCCATATGGGCTTGTACCACGCGGGCTTGTACAAAGGTTTGGGTTTTTGCATGTTTTACGAAGTGTTTAGGGGATGTAACAGATCGACAGTCGCAGAGCCCAGACCGCAAGGAATCCAGGAACTCAGGGATCCTTCGTCTCTACATGTTCAAAAGCCCAGGCCTACAAAATTCAGCTCTGCCTAAAAGCGAGGTAAAACAGCGCAGCGAGCCAGAGACGGCCCCCACACCCGCAGGCCGCAGACGGGCTTTAAGGAATTTAAGGGCCTTGGCACTGAAGCTCGGAACTTCAGGGCCCTTAAGCCTTGAGACTGAATGGTTTTCCGTGTCGGTACCAATCGTTACCTAGTCTACAGCAAATTATAAGATGCACCACAAGCCTGTCCTCATCTTCAGCCGGGCCCGTACTGTGAATCTCAATGCCAAACAGTAAACAGTGAGGGTAGTGAAAGTGGTGAGCGTGCAAGGGATCCTTCGGGAGCTATTCCTATGTGATATCTCCATCTTGGACCTCCGCCATCAGGATCCCATAAAAACATAAGTCAGTTCTGAGAGAACAAGTATGTAGCAGAGCCAGTCTCTGAACTTCGACACATTCGGCAGACACCGGGGCCGATTTCTTGTTGGGGCTTGGGTTCGGTGGGCTTGCCAGCTAGCTAGACGCTTGCAGTTTTCGTTCCTTGTGTCTCGTTTTGTGTGTAGTTTTTTTTGCATTTGGGATTTACGGTGTAGGATCGGTCCGTCTCTTTGTTTTGATTTGTAGACTTCAGCTGGTGGTCTTGTGAAATTGGGAATCCTCGTCATCGTTTGGAGGCGAAAGAACGGTTCAGGATTCGGAATCGGGTGAGGTCACTTGCACCCCAGCTCCCAACCGAAAACATGACTTCGGTTTAGGGTTCAGGCGTTGATGCTGAAAGACACACTGTCGCCCAAACCTGACCTAGACTCATGTCAGCAGACCAACAAGGGTAAATTAAAGCGCGGTAAGCTCTTTTTCGACCGAGGATCCAGACCACAGTCTTTGGGGGCCCGGGCCTTGGCAGCTGCCAGACTCAGGTTTCGAGGTGCTGCTGCTGCTGCTGCTGCTGCTGCTGCTGCTGCGAATGAACGTGGCCAACACATAGCCCACGATGACCATCATCATCCTGATCATGGTCATTCCTTCCCGATACTGTTGAATAATGCCGTCTTGGCTCGAGTGCAGGCACCAAGGTTTTACTGGGCACCGCCAATCGGATTGAAGTGCCCTGACAGGGGCTTTTTGCGAAGATGAAAGTCTATCCAATGGATTCCTCTTAGTTGTAGCTGTACCACTTGGTGACAGCTGCAGCCTTCATGAGGGTTGAGCTGCGGATCGGAGTTGAAGCTTCTAGAAACCACAGGTTCTACCGGCCGCAGGGCCCTCGGCGTTGCCATGGAAGGCCGGGGTCTACTGCCAGTTGGTGCCGTTGGCAAGGTGCCACAGCTTACGATTCCTTGTTTGGGCCGCCGCCCTACGCCGCCTCACCATCGAAGACGGGTCGGCCCTGCCTCTGCGGCTTGGGCCATTGGGACGCTGGTCGCTTGCAGGCATCGGGGAAGGCGCTCCGCTCGCTGCGAACCCCGGCTTCTGCAGATGGGTCACGGAGTGTCACGGAACCCGTTTTTCATTTTGGGTGAAGAGTGTCGCTTGTACAGTAGCATGCTGCATGCTGGCTGCTGCACAGTAAGGATCCCAAGAACTCTATCCTTTTCCAAAGCTACCCTTTTCTCTTTCACTAGTTACTAGTGACCAGCAGAAAGGAGGCAATCTCGCGTTGATGGTGTACATTGAATTTCTCGGTGTTAAATCTAAGGGCATTGCGCCCGTATCCGATAAGCGGAGCCGCCTTCATCGAGCAGGCATAATGAGCTGCAATCTCAACAACACTGCCAGTAGACAGAGAGCGGTTCCGCAGGTGCACCCGAAAATTTACTTTCAACTTAAATAGCAGCATGTGCCAGAGCACGTGTGACGTGCTGGTGTAGTTCACGGCGAGCCGGCCTTGCACGGACATGTAATTGTCATGCATGCGTGCGCCACGGAGACAGTGAGGTGCATGGACAGATGTAGTTGCACCATAGCCTTACTTGGACAGCTTAAGTTTGGAAAAGCCGAGGCGGAAGGCGACACTGGCGATGAAGTCCAGGTAAGCACACCGAGTTCCACATGCATTACGCCCATTGGCCCCTTCTGCCCGTACAGGTCCTCTGCGTGTGCGTGGGACAGCGAGTTCCTGAGCTTGTGGGTAGTCGTGTTCAAGCTAAGGCATCCAAGACCTTTTAATTGAGGGCCCACGTTCCATCGTATCTCCGAGGCACGCGACCTAGCAACAGCCCCAGCCTAGGAGAAACTAGCAGAAACTGATCCCAGCTGCTTTTGACGAGGTTGCTCGTTCTTCGATGGACGCCTTTTGAAGAAGTCGTTCTGTGGTGTTGTGAAGAAACGACAACCACAATAACTTTGCTGGCTCAGCTTGCAGGGTCCCTTCGCTTCTGAGGGGTGGAATGCCTTCTCTTGTTCTTCTTACCTGGACCGGAGACAGACACTTTCTGTTTTGAACACCGAAACTTGGACCAGGCCCGGCTTGCCCTGTAAGCACCCATGTTTACACCTGTATCGTTCTTCTGTTGATTTCTGACATTGGCTGACTTCCAAGGGCTTCTTGTTCAACACGACTTTGCCTTCAACAGGTTGTGATTTTGACGGGTTTCTTTTTCAGAACAGACGAGGAGAAGCCAATCCTTGCTGCTTGCAACAAGGGTCTTCCTGCAGTTTGGCCGACTGCCATACCGTGAACCTCATCTGATTTGTCCGAGGGTAAGAGCATAAGTCGTGAAGAAGGCTACCTGTAACCACAAACAGTAGCTGATTTCCAGCCTCGAAACCATGGTTCCCCAAGCCCTCCAGCCTTGAGGGCTCCGTCTCAACGCTCCTCTGACAGAGGAGCGAAAATTCTGAGGCTCAGCAAAGGTATGAGCGACCTGACCAACGAGTCTCCAGAATTTGCAGTGGAGATGAGCCGAATCTGGGCTCCCTCGTACACCGCGCTTGTAGTTTCTATGAGGGCCTTGGCGGACAAAGCTTGATGTCTGAAGTTTGAATCCAGGAATGCAGCTCGATATGCAGATGGGCCGGGAGCCGGACTCTCGGCGCATGGGGCAACTGGCCGACAAGCTGGAGCAGTCCTACCAGAAGTGGAATGGGTTAATGACCAGGCGGGGTTTGCTGTGCGTTTGCCATCGGCCTGTCTAGCGGCACAGAGCTAAACCTCAGAAGGCAAAAAGACTCCCTAGACTCCCCAGAAAGTCCTCGAGTCCTTAGACTCAGACCGCCAAAGCCTTTCGCAGCCCAGGCTTCGGCTGAGCAGCGACTTCCAAAGCCGCGAGTATTTCAAGCTCACCTTGAGCCACCTCGATGGTCGCAGCATCGAAGACCTCGGTAAGATGGTCCAGTACCTGGGCTCCCTTGCTTAGTGGGGCATTCCGTGTTTCGGGTCCGGGGTTCGCTGCTTCGGTTGGAGGTACAGGTTGGAACAGCAGGCTTCGTTTAAAGATGATATTTCAGGGCGAAGTGCGTGCGTCGTGGACATTCAGCGCACATGCGTTTTTCATCAACGTCCAGGGCGTTTCGTTTTAAGTGTTCCTCTACCGGACACTACCGCCTGGCCTAGCAAGATTCCATGCGGGGAAGACCTGCATTCGGCCTTACGTAGATGCTGGACCGTGAAAGCGAAATCCGAAGCTGACGGAGCAGGGGCGATTGTTTCAGAATGATGTCTCGGACGACATATATGTCGTTTTGGATCGCATGTCGGAATTTATCTGAATGTACCGTTGCTTACGCTGCCTAGCTACTCGTGCAGCAGGTCAAGCCCGAAGCAGACAGGAAACTGTGGTCCCCGGCTGTCCTAATATCTTCCCTTAGGCAGCTTTTGCAATTACGTGCAGCCTTAAACGAACAGAGCTCGAGCCTGTCCTGCTTTGAAAGCAGCAGCACAGGTAAATTTCAAGTGTCTGAAGATGTTGAATCTGTGGCCCTGGATCCATCACGTGTGCTTACGGGAGAAAGCCTTAAACTCTGAACCCGAACTCTGGGCCCGCACGCCCTCAAACCTAAGTACGGTTATGCACAGCAGGTACCAAGTCGACTGTATGAGGGCAGTTGCTACTGGCGGCATGATTCCACCTGTGCCGGTGGGCGTGGATATGACGCCTCCGAAGGTACGTACAGTAGGGGATCACGGTAGCAGAGCATGTGTGTATGTATTTCGCGATTTGCATTGGGGTTTAGAGCTTCGCAAAATTGCGCCTTGATGGCTAGTGTTTGGATAGAGGTTTAAGGTTCGTGGTGTGCCACCAGTGAAGTAGACTACAGTCGGGGGGTTCAGGGTTTCAAGTTTGAGAAACAACATCTGCGCAGGGTGGGTTTCGCCACGTGGTTAAATAACCCAAAGAGAGGAACCAGCAGAAAGTCTCAGAATAATCAAGGCACTGTCCCCCGGTTCTGGCTGGTCTTTTGGCAGTTCTTGTACTTCTTCGTTCCAGCCCAAGTACATCCTTTCCTCATCCGTCCTCGCCATGGCACCTGATTATCCGCGTCTCGTCACACGCACTGCGGCAGTGCTCGGCATCCTGATGCACCTTCTGGTGGCTAGGTGCATCCTGGATGGATATGGATCGCGCTTCCTGCAGCATCGATGGGCTACTGGTACCAGCCTCATTACGCTTCCTCCCGTGTGAATTGCCATTCCCTGTTCCACTGCCAAATCACGTGGGTGGATGTGTGGGTAATTAAGTCCTGCAACACTTGGCCGTCAGCTTTGCTTCTTGGCTTTCCTCACCCTTCTTTACGGCGGATGTACCCATCAATCGCGCATCACGTAAAGATGAGTTCTTCAATTGCGTCATTTTGAGCTTGATGGGTACCGCCAGCTTTGCGGGCGGGCTCCAGGACGCTCGTGCCATTTCTGGCCATCGACGACAAAGTCAAAGCCGTACTTTGTCATTCTGGAGCTCGTGCCGCCTCTTTCGTTTATCCACTCCATAAGTCAAGCAAAATCTTGCGTGACGCAGTGGCCAAGCTCAACAAGGCCAAGGCCAAGACTGCGCTTATCCGCAAATTGGAGCAAGAGACCTCGCACCAGGAACCTCGCCAGGCTTGTCCGAGTTGTGAGAGCGTAAAGCTGGTTCAATTCAAACTCAAGCGGGCCTGCGTCCCCATGCACTCATTATGCGCCGTCTCCTCGGTGATCCCGGCACGGGGTCGTATGCCGCTGCCGCTACTGTATTCTGGCGTCTATACCGCGCGGTTGTGCAATACCAATGCCGCGAAGACGACAAATTCTGCCTCGCTGATCCCGGTTCCCGCGCTGGCATCAATTGGCTTCGTGGTTTCCCGCCTGCCATGGCCAATCGCTCGACTGACCAGCGACCACATCTACCGAGTATCCTCGTTCTTTCAATGCAACTCCTTCCTCAAGGCCTCTCCCACCGATTCTGCCACCATGAAAGAAGCCAAGGGCCTTATTCGATCCCATGCTGCGACCCCGAGGGTAAGGCCGACTTTTGTTGCGAGCAGCAAATGTATCAACACCGTTCTCACGGTCAACTTGGACTGAATCCCATGCTTGCAAAACGCTTGCTTTTGCGTTTTGTAGGTGTCAGGTTGTCGTGGTCGTGGTGGTGGTTGTGGTTGTTGTTGTTGTTGTTGCTGTTGTTGTTGTTGTTGCTGTTGTTTTTTTTGTTTTTGTTGTTGTTGTTGTCGTCGTCGTCGTCGTTGTTGTCGTTGTCGTTATCGTTGTGGTTGTTGTTGCTGCTGTTGTTGCTGCTGTTGTTGCTGCTGCTGCTGCTGTTGCTGCTGTTGTTGTTGCTGCTGCTGTGGTGGTGGTTGTTGTTTTGTTGGCGGTAGTCGTGGTGGTGGTGGTGGTGGTTGTGGTTGTGGTGGTGGCTGTGGCTGTGGCTGTGGCTGTGGCTGTGGCTGTGGCTGTGGCTGTGGCTGTGGCTGTGGCTGCTGTTGCTGGTGCTGGTGCTGGTGCTGGTGCTGGTGCTGGTGCTGGTGCTGGTGCTGGTGCTGGTGGTGGTGGTGGTGGTGGTGTCGTTGTCGTTGTCGTTGTCGCTGTCGTCGTCGTCGTCGTGGTGGTTGTTGTTGTTGTTGTCGTTGTCGTCGTCGTCGGCGGCGGCGTCTTCGTCGTCGTCGTGGTTGTTGCGGTTGTTGTTGTTGTGGTTGTGGTTGTGGTTGTGGTTGTGGTTGTGGTTGTGGTTGTTGTTGTTGTTGGTGGTGTTGTTGGTGTTGTTGTTGTTGTTGTTGTTGTTGTTGTTTGTGTTTGTGTTTGTGTTTTTGTTTTTGTTGTTGCTGTTGTGGTTGTGGTTACCTGGTTGTGGTTGTGGTTGTGGTTGTGGTGGTTGTTGTTGTTGTTGTTCTTCTTCTTCTTCTTTTTTCTTGTTTTTTGTTCTTGTTCTTAGTTTTCTTCTTTTTCTTGTTGTTGTTGTTGTTGTGGTGGTGGTTTTGTGTTGTGTGTTGTTGTGTTGTTGTGTTGCTGGGAGTTGTTGCTGTTTGGTGTTGCTTGTTGTTTGGTGCTGTTTTGGTGTTGTTTGATGGTGATTGTTGTTGTTTGTGGCTGTTTGTTGTTGCTTGTTGTTGTTTGTTGTTTGTGTTGTTGTTGTTGTTGTTGTTGCTGTTGGTGGTGTTGGCATTGGTGTTGGTACTGGTAATGACTGGTAATGTTGATGTTGATGTTGATGTTGTTGTTGTTGTTGTTGGTGGTGGTGGTGGTGGCTGTGGTGATGGTGGTGGTGGTGGTCGTGGTGGCGGCGGTGGTGGCGGTGGTGGCGGTGGGTGTGGTGATGTTGGTGGGTGTGGTGGTGGGTGTGGTGGTGTTGTGCTGGTGGTGCTAGCGGTGGTGCTGTTGCTGTGGTGGTGCTGGTGCTGTGCTGGTGCTGGTGCTGTGCTGGTGCTGGTGCTGCTGGTGCTGGTCCTGATCCTGGTCCTGGTCCATGGTCCTGCTTTCTGAAGGGCATGCTGATGTGGAGGTTAGGCCATAGATAGGCCAAGCGAGGTTCCAAGCTCCTGCTGGTGTAAGGAAACATGGAAAACGAGGTTCCAGGCTTCTTCTGGTAGAAGGAATGCAAAAGGCCATGAAGAAAAACAGAGGTTCCGGGCCCCTTTCGGTGCCTGAGATTCTGTGACCGGCTAGACGCCTTTCGCCGGCGCTTCCAGCTGATATTAACGGAGTTTAACGGGAGCAGTTCCACCACTACGGAACGAGAAGGGGATCACACCTTGGGTACCGGGCCGTGATGCCGAAATGGCTCTGCGCTTTCCTCTTTAGGAGAATGCCAGGTGACCTCCAAACCTCCATAGACACGAAGGTTGAGATGCACGCCACCCTCCGGCAAAGCAAAGCCCTCCAGAACGAGCTCAAACTTCTTGCAAAAAATCGCCAGCGTGTGCTCCCTGCAACGTTTGCCTCCGCTTTCGTGGCCAATGCCGGTGGAACATGGCCGCACAATCAGCTTATGGCAGTGCCGCTGCTGCAGCACTTTCCTTGTGCACCCACTGCTGGACATATATATATATGTATATGTATATGCATATGTATATATGTATATGTATATGTATGCCCCATGAGTCTAGCTGTGTGCCCTCGACGCCGCCACGTGCCTCTCCTCCCTGAGGCCCTGCTCAGCCACATGCGTGCTCTGGTGGATGGCTGTTATCGCGGTGCGGGTTCTGCTGCCTCCGTTGTCCCAGAGCTGCGCCGGCGTCGGGTGCGCAAATGGCTCCAATGTCACATCAATGCCCGCGGGCGGTGCAGCATGCATACTGCCCCGAGATACGGAGGGGGAAGAGTGTGGTGACCGCGGTAACTACCGGTCGGTGCTTGGCGACCGACCGGCCGACCTGCCGACCGACCGACCGACCGACCGACCGACCTACCTACCTACCTACCTACCTACCTACCTACCGACCTACCTAATCAAGCCATTGTGAAAACCGCTTCCCCTGCGGCCCATTTGGAGGAAGGGTTTGAACTTGTTAACCATACAAAAAACTTTTCGACATGGCAGTCCGAGCCTAAAGCCCTGAACAGCCCTTCGTCGTGAACCCTCCTGGCACTTCCGAGTGCGTGTCCAGGAAGGCTTGCCCTCGGCCGCCGCCGCCCCCAACATGATTACAGCAGAGCCCTTCGACAGCTCGGCCTTTACCAACGAAGTTGTCAAGGACCCTTTGCGTCATCCGGATTCCTCGCCTCGGGCTTTCATTTCCGCCTTGATCCGTGTGGATCCTGAAGTTGAACGAAAGGTCTCACCCTCCCGCCTCCCAAGTTCCGGACCCCCGGGGAGGAATATGCAGCGCTGTGCCGGGACCACCAGCAGGCCACGGCTCCTGTTGAGATCGGAAGCATCGGAGATGTTGGACTACAGACGTTTCAGGGACCAGTGACCCATGGGCAGCTTCGGTTCAAGATTTTGGATGTGTTACTGTACCGTGTGAGATCTTTCTGACTTCTAGTTCTGATCTCTTTCTGCAAGCTTGTTCTCATCAAGATGGTATGTCACTATGTAGATCCAGCAGAAGTCCGGAAGAGCTCGAGCCTCCGCCGACGACACCTTCTGCAAACCTGCACGGCGCGACTCCTTTGTCCAATTCCGAGTCGCAAATTGAAACCGCCCAGCTTCGACTTCCGGAAACATCCTGGAGCCCTGAAGAACGAACCACCCAAAGTTTCCGCTCTCCTCCGCGCGCTGCAGGTGATCGTCATGGGGGAGTCTCTTAGTACTCGAGCTTACAAACTTTTGGTTTGGGCCCTATATACATACATACAAACCTCTTACAGCGGTCATATAAAACGTCTCGAAAGGGCAAGCTTGGCTGCAGCGAAGGTCTTTTGGCAACTTTGACCCACTGGGGAAGATCGCCTTCCTCGACCAGCTCGAGAAGATCGAGGCGCTGAGGGTCCCTGTGTTAGGGGGAGGGGAGGTCTTTACGATTAGCATATATAGGGCCCCTTAAGTTTCTTAGCCCAGTACACTTGACAATTCAGCCTGGCTCACAGTAGGGTAGCCTAAGGTTCTGAGCCAAGTTCTTACCAGAGCTCGACGTGTATCTTGAGCAAAACTGGTCACTGCGCCTACACGGTTTGCTTCGCAGCATCTGGCCAATGACGATCCAACGACACTGAGCGCTTGTTGAGGCACCGTCATTCCTTGAACACTTTTCGGGAGTCGGTGGTACAGCAAGAAGTCTGGGCATGCAAAGGTCCGTGCTCATTTCAGGATTAAGGTACTCAAGGCATATGTTCGGCGTGTCAGAACGTAGGGTTCGGGTCTGCAGGGGGTAGGGTTCGTGAGTGACGAATCGAGAAAACAAGTCGCCACATCCTGGAGATGGCGAGGCGTGAGAATTTGTGGAAAGGGCTTGCCATTGACCTTGAGCCTTATCAGCCGTAAGCCTTAAGCAGTATCCAGAACACTCTAGTTCAGTCACAACACACACGGCTGCGCAACATATTGTTCCCCCTACCCCACCTCGGCGCCAGGTGTTCTGATGGGACGGTTTACAAACCTCGGCATTGGCATGCGGTTTTTACTTCTGATACCGTAGCGTGCAGTCGTGTAGCCTCCAACGGTTTGCAAAAGCGTGTTCTGTCCACTTGGAGCCCTCGCCCCCGCCACGTCAGTGACCAACTACGCATAACTACGCCCGACACCCTCAACTCTCCCAGTGCTGTACCAGTCCAGGAGCACATGACTCGCAATTCACGGTTCGCAGTGCTGCTTCTACAATCGCAGAAGCCCGAATTTGCAGCAAACATCAAAATCCTAGCCCTGTGCCCAAGAAGCCCTGAACCCACAGCCGGAGAGGAGCGATGGGACATCTTCTTTGGGTGCTTGGGCCTGCTTGGAGCTCTCAGCCCGGACTACAAGGACTACTTGATTTGGGAGCTTCTCAAATGTAAGGGTCTCCTAGTGACGATCCTGCCGCAGGTAGGGTCTACATTAGCCCCTTATGTGTTCTCTGGAAACGTTCATGTTGCACACGTGCGTTGCAGTCGACATCGCGGCTTAGAGGGCCTGACAATGCAGGGGGACGGCGAGACACAGGATCGATGCTCTGCTGCTCTGCTAGTGCTGCGCCGATTGTAGTTTAGTCGGGTGATCAGTTTTATGGTTGAGTTGTCACCACAGCGACACAACAACGTGATCGACCAAAGGCCTGTCAAGCTTACGTACAGCTGCTGCTGCTGCTGTTGTTGCTTTCATTTCAAGTTGCTGGCATTCGCTTTTTATCAGTCTAGACTGCTTGTTGTTACCACACTAATTGCTTGTTGATGCCGATTTTGCTGGGGCTGCAATGGGCGGCTAGGGCTACCGTTGTCGTTACTGTTGGACAGTTGGGCTGGTGCTGGTGCGGGCCTGGTCGTGCATACGATGGTGCTCTTGGTTGCTAGGCTTGAGCAGCTTGGTGTCGCTGTCGTCTTGGCTCACAGGGGCGTCGGAGTTTTGAGGTCGTAAGCCTTGTAAACACTCTTGTGCTATACAGAAAGTCCCGTAAGCCCTGTAATACCCTGAGCCTGAAACCATGTGTCATACAGGACCTCCTACCAAGTCCTGAATAGAGCTGGAGAAGCCCACTGTTCTGGAAGACCAACAAAAAACCAGAAGCTGTAAATCAAGAATCAAGACCTTTGCGCATCTCTGTGTCCCCAATGGAAAAGCCATTAAATCTCACGTAAAAACGATCAGTTGTGATCGTCAAAAAAACCTACACATCAGCACTTCCCGCCTGAACTTCTGAGAGCTCAACACTACAGTCACTACAAACTGTTCAGCGGTTCAGCTTGACAATCAAGGTTGGAATTTCCTAGTACGCGCCTTCGCAAACAAGGAGCAGAGCGCGGAGTTTCTTAGTTCTATGGGCTTGTCTGGCCCGCAGTAGCTCGGCTGCACCATATGGTTTTGGATGGTATTCGGGATGATTTAGGTGTAGGACCGTAGGACTGAGGGCTTTGGTGGGTTCCGAGTGGCAACTGGTGAGGATGTTATTCCAAGACTTGTCTGGGAGCCTGCAGTCAAGCAGACATGCTGTATGGTTCGGGGTTCTTCCTACAGTGGACATACCATGCCGTGCAGCAAGACGACACTCGAAGCTCTGGCTTTCTTTTGTTTTGTGAGGTTTGCGGCCTGTGAAAGCGAATGAGCTTCATTCTGCGTTGTCTTCGTAAAGAGTGTTGCCCCAAAACCCTCAACACGCAGAACCATAAGTTGCAACTGAGCCGCCTCCACCCCCGAAGCCCAAACCAAACCACGAGCCGCTGGCATGACCGATTTTGCTCCAGTAAGGTTTCGGAAGCTCCTGCGCAGGGCGCATCAGCAAATGCGTGACGACGCCGAGCGTGAGCGGGGTCTGAACCCCTGAAAATTTGAAAAAATGTTTGTAGAAAGGAGCATACGGCAAGCTACAGTAGCACCGGGTAGTGTTTGGGCGTCGCGGGTTGGCCTGGTTGAGATTAGGTGAGCGGCTAATGTTGGATAGTTTTTTTTTGTCATCTAGGGTCTAGAGTCTGGACATGCGTGATTATTTGGAATAGAAGTGCTACCGGTGAGGGCTTCAGCATGTTCGGCTTCCATTGGAATAAAAGGCATTTGGGAACTTGGAATCCCATTGCCCTCCTGTTATACAGACACCTCTAGAAAGACTATTTGTCAATTCTTCGGGACCGTCTAACAAATATATAATATGTAGCTAAAGCCTGCTCCGTTTACTTTGCAATTACAGAGTTCTGTTCGAGTTCGGAGTTTGACAGCGGCTGTGCCACATCAGTCAGTCACTTCCAGTTAAGGACTAGCCGCAACCGTGCTCTGAGCAGTATGAACATTCATCATTTCTCTGAAGGTTGTTACGGGCTATAGCGATCCTATTGTAGAGGTATCAGTAGAATAGCAAACACGAAGTACCATGATGCTGCTGATGATGGTAGTAGTGGTCTACAAGTATACTACGTAGCAAGTGTAGACGAGGTGTTTTTCTCAGTCGCATGCATCCTGGATTGCAAAGTACCGATGGTCGGAGAATCATCTGCATCATCATCATATTTAGCACAACAGACCCTGAAATAACATCACTGAATGCTGGTCATGGGGCTAGGGCTAGGAATTGGGATCTTCATGCTACATCTCGTGAACTACGAAAAACAGTCCACTCCTAGTTGCTGTTTCAGGCACCAAGTTTGTTTCCAGGCCTGAGTTGACCCTGGTTAGCTTCAGAGCCCTTTTGGGACTGCTTAGTCGGTCTCAATGTATAGCACAAAAGAGACCGCAGCTCTCAAAGACGATGATGCCGCGGAGACGAAAAGCTTCCTGAGACACCCAAGGACAACACACACCGTTCACGACTCTCCTGATAAACAAAACGGCAGGCCAGTTCTACCATTTGGGTTTCGTATCGGTCACAGTTCCTGTTTGGGCGGCCCATATGAAATCCAGTTCGAGTTGAAACGTTGAAGGGTCGACCCTGAGCTTACGAGACCCAAAGCAACAAGAGATTGACCTGAACCTCTCTGGTTAAGAGTCTTCGGGTTCAGGGTTCAGGCCTCCAATTCCAGGGTTTAGGCTTTTGACTTTTGTCAGAGTAGGATTTGGGGTTTGATTTGTAGGCTTTAGGATTAGGGTTTGGCTCGAGTGTTCATGGCCGAAGTCAATTAGGGGAGCGCTCTCCCATGAGCAGAAAGAAGCCTTTTCTCATCAGAAGTGCCCGAAATTGGAACCCCCCCGCAGTTGTCCTCACTCCTAATTTGGTGAATCTTGCCTTCCGATGGGTGCCGAGTAAGGGTTTATAGTTCCCGTGGCCCCACACGGGACCTATCGAGTCGCGTGCCGAGGTTCTAAGATAGAGGCTAGTCAAACCAGAGCGTACCGGCCGGTATAGAAAATTTAGATAATAACAATAAGACTAACAAATAAATATATTGAAAAGAAGTGGACTTCTTAGATAAAGGCCAGTCAAATCACAGCGTACCGGCCGGTATAGAAAATCATGATAGAACAACCCTCAGCAGTTCGCAGTAGTCACTGGTCCCAAGCACTGCAGGAGGCAACAAAAACCCTGAGACCCTGGTGTTCTTCGGGCTTTGCTTTGTGAGCGCCGTGATTCGGTCCACAGCCCGGCAAATCAAAGCCAGGATCATCTCGAACCGAAAGCCCTACACTCCCTTTCGACCTTGCACTTAAGAAGCTCCAACATAAGATCCGTGAGGCGTTGAAAGCTGCACCTGCCCCAGAGGCCAGAGCCCTACTTTTTGCAGGGGCCATCTTTTTCCCAAAAACCCCTCTGGGGTTGGGTTCTCGTTCAGAACGGTAAGCCGCGAGAGCGCGATAACGAAGCCGACGCGTCCGGGAAGAGCAAAC